GGGGTGGCCCGGGGGTGGGGGGGGGTCCAGCTGTTCCCGCGGTCTGTGCCACCTTAGAAGTGAACTTGGGGAAAAAAACCCCAAGATTTGATCATTCTGTTAAGCCTGGAAAATACCTCGTAGCGGCCGGGCTTTCAGAGGTGGTTTTTGTCCAGCTCCTACCCCCCCACCTCCCCTAAAACTGCTCGTCGGTCGGAATAATGCTTGAGGAGATGTAATTAGTCTAAAATGATGAGTGCGGTATGGCCTGTGTAACTTAGGGATGCCAAACTGAATTTATTAAATCTGCCTTAATTGCTCAAATAGTTGGATTCGCGATTTTTTTCACAGGATTAAACAGCCCGTTCCCATATTGCTGTGAGTCCCCTTCAGTAATCTTTTGGACAGGGGAAGGCCGTGCAAACAAAAAGAGCACTGTTTGCACGAGAAGGATGAAATAAATAGTTATAGGAAATACTTATAAAGTGTTGGATATTGTTTATAATTAGTTCGGTTCATTTCCTGTATACTCAATCAGTACTCAATATCCAACGACTTCTGTTAAGTGTTTTCTGAATACTGTTTGCTAATGTAATGGCTTTCTGGGGGTGTGGGTGGGTAGTTAAGTGTAAAATCTTAAATAATCTTGCATTCTGCGATTTTCAGTTGCATAATACTGGAATGTGTTTATTTTAACATGAACATTCTTTCTCCTGCCTTATCAGCTATCTTTCTTTATTCCCACTCAGCAGCCCTTATCGCAGAAGTATTTATTTATAATTCTTTCTTTGCAGGCTGGTATCCTACACAGAAAGTGTGACTAAATAACGTGCACGTGCTGATTACTGGAGGAGAGGCTGAAGGACATCCCGTTTTGATTTAGCAGGGGTGTTATTCTTTGGGGTGAAATGAAGAATTTGATTCTTTTTTGGAAATGCTCAGCTCTCTAATGCAACTGAACTTCAGTAGCCTTTTTTTTTTTGTGGTACAGATTTAAACAAATGATTTTTTCTTAAAAATGCAGAACCTGTCACTCGTAGAAAGTTGTACTAATACAGACCCACCACACCAGATGTCTTCAGAAGACCTAGCCGTTGAAGCTGGTGGTGTGTCTCTCAGTGAAAGCCACTGTAACTTGAACGAAACAACAAATAACGAAGGAATTATTAATCTTGAACTAATGCAGCAAAGCATCCCTGTAGTGAATAGCAAAGGGAAAAGTTGTGGGGGGTTTTCTGAGGGTGGTTATAGTAGCTCAGAACCCAGCAGTTCCTGGGGTGATTTTGAAGGCTTCAGGGAGCCCTTAGACAAGTCAGAGAGATTTGGTCATAATCTTGAAGTTTTGGTGAAGCCAACAAAGACTTCGAGAGTCGATACGGACTTAAGCAGAGGATATTGCAGTGCTTCTGCTGGTCACCTCTCTTCTGAGCCATCTCTGCCCAGTGGGACACAGGAGGCTTGTTGTAGCTCTCTAAATGAGGTATGTGTTAATCGTAAACCAAAGAGTGGAAATGTTTGTATTACTGCTTCCTACACCTCAGGATTTGTATCTGAATGTCTTCTCTACGGAGGATAACGCTGCACAGGGTGAGAAACTGTCAAGCTGCTTTGCAGCTAACTCAAGTGGTGCAAAAGCAACTTCCTTACAGTGTTTGACAAATACTTAAGTTATCCTGCTGGAGAGCTTTAAAGAATGTAATGTGCTGCTTTGCTTCTAGACACTAGGAATAAGTAAGCACGTAGAAATGATGAACCTTGCCCTGAAGCACACGCAACTTAAAAGCTAGATGAGAATGAGCACGGGAAACAAAAAATCAGGAAGGTGGGTGACAAAAAAAAGAGTGGGAAAAAAACTCTGTGAGCTGCCTGCAAGCTTATTGAAAAATGATAACTTTTGTTATTTAATATATACTGCCTTCATAATCCAATTTCCTGGTATTTTAGACTGATTTTGAGTGGGAGTTAAGTTTGTTATTTAATATATACTTCATAATCCAATTTCCCAGTATTTTAGACTGATTTTGAGTGGGAGTTAATGATAGGGAAAAAAAAAAGTAATTTAATAGAATTCATTTTCTATCATAGGATGTTACATTCTCTCATAATATGTCAGAACTGAATAAATATCTGAATAAATACTAAGTTATATAATGTTTCCTTATCAGCACCCAAAAAAAAGGTTCAGTTTAAGGGTTATACTTTGTTGCAATTAATGTTTCAGTGTTTACCAAACACACATCACCAAAGCGAAACAAAGTAACAAAAGTAAAATAAGAATGTACAAACACAAAACAAAATGCCCTCCTCCTTAGTATTTTTATCCTAGACTAAAACATTTGAAAAAAGAGAGTAATCAACTAGAACTTCCCTTGAGCTAATCAGTAGCAGTAATAGCTTACTCCTTTTAATCTGTTAGATGAGTTTTAGTAGGTGTGGGGAAGGGAGGGTTTTCTGGAGGCAGGTTTTCTTGCCCTTGGCTGGGAAACTTTACCTGTTGCAGAGGTGTTGCTGGGGAAAGCAAAAAGATATAAGTGAGTAAATTCTTCCAGCACTGAGACAGTGGAGACCACAAGATACCTGGTTATTGATATGCATAAACAGAGAATTTAAATTGTTTGGAATGCTGGAAATTGGGGACAAGAAGTCTTATGTTGAAAAAAGTGAGTAGGTAATGCCTGGAGCGGAAATACAACATAGCAGATTGTTTGGTTTCTTTCCAAAAGCAGTAGATCTTAATCTCACTGAAGCTTTTATTTTTGCATTTATTAAAGACAAAAGAAAATGTCCCAGTACAAGCTATATGAGTTAACCTCACCTAGAGTTTCAATTTGTCTGTTCTTGTCTCGGGTGCTTAAAGAGTGGGTGTCAGGAGGATGGGGCCAGTCCTTTTTCAGCGATGCCCAGGGACAGGACAAGAGGAAATGGGCACAAACTTGAACATAAGAAGTTCCATCTAAGCATGAGGAGGAACGTCTTTACTTTGAGGGTGGCAGAGCCTGCCCAGGGACAAGGTGGAGTCTCCTTCCCTGGAGACATTCAAAACCCCCCTGGACATGTTCCTGTGCAACCTGCTCTGGGTGGACCTGCTCTGGCAGGGGGGTTGGACTGGATGATCTCCACAGGTCCCTTCCAACCCCATATCAAGTTAGAGGCTAAGATTCAGCAGAAACCCTTGGAGTCTTGCTCCTCCTTTTCTAATTCTAGGTAAATACTGAAAACACTGAAATATGGAGTCAGTCTAATATTAATACAAATTTTAAAATAATTTTTTATATATAGTCAATTTTTATAGTCAATAATATTTCTAGAAACATTGTAATCTTTGAACTAGGTCCTTCGTGAACTGTGGGGATGGCCTGTATTAACATATGTGATAAAACTCTGTTTTTTTTCTAGGCAAACCACAGCTATGAGGATATATTTAAGCTGGGCTTTCCAGAAGTCTTTGTGTCACAGTCCAGAGAGAGCATAAGAAGCTTGGATCAAGTACTTGATACAAATAATGAAGACATTGGGATTTCTGAACTTACAAAGAATCAACTTTGGTAATGAGTTTAAATCAACAGGTTTTTTTATTTAAAAAAAAAAAGTCCCTCAGCAATTACAGTGTTTATTTCATAATTTAAAAAACAGTGGTACTTGCCAGGTGTAAGTTAAATCTTTTTAATCACCATGCTTTTTCAGCATATAGATCTTATCAATTTTGATGAACTGTGGGGGTGGCTTGTATTAACATATGTGATAAAACTCTGTTCTTTTTCTAGGCAAACCACAGCTATGAGGATATATTTAAGTTGGGCTTTCCAGAAGTCTTTGTGTCACAGTCCAGAGAGAGCATAAGAAGCTTAGGTGAACTGTGGGGATGGCCTGTATTAACATATGTGATAAAACTCTGTTTTTTTTCTAGGCAAACCACAGCTATGAGGATATATTTAAGTTGGGCTTTCCAGAAGTCTTTGTGTCACAGTCCAGAGAGAGCATAAGAAGCTTAGATCAAGTACTTGATACGAATAATGAAGATGTTGGGATTCCTGAACTTACAAAGAATCAACTTTGGTAATGAGTTTAGATAACAGGTTTTTTATTTAAAAAAAGTTCCTCAGCAATTACAGTGTTTATTTCATAATTTAAAAAACAGTGGTACTTGCCAGGTGTAAGTTAAATCTTTTTAATCACTATGCTCTTTCAGCATATAGATCTTATCAATTTTGTATTGTATTGTTAAAGAAAGTGGATTGTCTTTTAGCCATTGGAAAAAAGGAAGGGATTATGTCAAAATTGCAAATTTCTGCTGAGGGTTTTTCCTGCTGTTGGTGTGCTTCTTCCGACTAAGCCTCTGGAATGCCAGAACACCCAACAGGTAGCCTGTTCTTCCTGTTTGCTTGTCTTTACAACACGTTTAATCAACAGGTTTTTTTATTTAAAAAAAAAAAGTCCCTCAGCAATTACAGTGTTTATTTCATAATTTAAAAAACAGTGGTACTTGCCAGGTGTAAGTTAAATCTTTTTAATCACCATGCTTTTTCAGCATATAGATCTTATCAATTTTGTATTGTATTGTTAAAGAAAGTGGATTGTCTTTTAGCCACTGGAGAAAAGGAAGGGAATATGTCAAAATTACAAATTCCTGCTGAGGGTTTTTCCTGCTGCTGGTGTGCTTCTTCTGACTAAGCCTCTGGAATGCCAGAACACCCAACAGGTAGCCTGTTCTTCCTGTTTGCTTGTCTTTACAACACGTTTAACTTCTTTCTTCATCATCCGAGGGAGCGTTGTTGCTGCTTCTACTGAACAAGCCACTCGCTTTTTTTTTTTCCTCCCTCCCCAGTGTTCCCAGGTGTGATTCAGAATCTGGTGCATCTGGCTTCTTTCCTGGGGTTATATTAGTAGCAATTAGTAGCATTAATTTAGCTTTGTCTTAAGACAGCTGGAACGCTTTTAGATTGGTTACAGGATTTTGAAGCTTCTGAGCAGTATTGTGGTTATATTTTTGCATACATCTGAGGCTTTGCAACAGGTAGCCTGTTCTTCCTGTTTGCTTGTCTTTACAACACGTTTAACTTCTTTCTTCATCATCCGAGGGAGCGTTGTTGCTGCTTCTACTGAACAAGCCACTCGCTTTTTTTTTTCCTTCCTCACCAGTGTTCCCAGGTGTGATTCAGAATGTGGTGCATCTGGCTTCTTTCCTGGGGTTATATTAGTAGCAATTAGTAGCATTAATTTAGCTTTCTCTTAAGACAGCTGTAACTCTTTTAGATTGGTTACATGATTTTGAAGCTTCTGAGCAGTATTGTAGTTATATTTTTGCATACATCTGAGGCTTTGCATCTAGAAAGAATCTGGGTCAGACCACAGTTTGGAAATGCCATAAGAGAATCACAAGAAATATAGTTAAAAGGTTTAATGTGGGCATCGTTTCGGCAAGTTCCTTGTATATGCATTATATTTTAATCAGCCTCATAATTGTGGAGAAATACGATATATATGTAAAAGGCACTGCAATATTCTAGCAGAGTACCAGCTGTAGACAAAGAAGCCCTGACCTACTGTGGTGAATAACTGAGATCAATGATAACTGCATCCTGTACAAAACAAAAAGCAACCGGATTTACACAGGATGAATGCAACGTAAGAACCCAAAGTACTACGTAGAGGGAACTCTTAATTCTCCCTCTTTCAGCAGCGTGTGCTTGTTTTGTAGTACCTGGGTGCCCAGAGCAGACCCAGGTCACCCACTGGAGCAGCAGATGGCTGCAGCAGATAGGAGGGACCGATAGGAAGGAGAAAGGTTTGAGAGACAGAAAATACAAAGTGCAGAATGAACAGGGTTGAACTCTACCCACATTTCACAGAAGCAATTGAATAATGCAAGTTGCTGGTGTATAACACTCTCTGAAACATGCTTTTAATGCACTTATCATCATCTGAGAAACCCAAACATACAGTTACATTGACTTACTGTTTCCGTTAATTGTCACGCAAGCTTATTAGTACATTGAGTTAATAGTTTAAACAAATGTGGAATGAGTTTTAAGATGTTTCTTTTTAGATCAAGGCAGGCTAGTACATGACTGTATGTAGTGAAAATAACGCAGTTTTATACATTCAATGGAAACTTTGTACACCCTATAACCTCAAACTGTGTTTTCTTTCCTAGCATTGATTCTGGAAACATATGGAGAACGCTTAGAGACTTTGATAATACCCCCAGCTTAAGACATCCCTGGAGTAAATCACATTGCCAAGAAAACCTCATGAGTGTTCTTGGAATAGATGCAAATCAAAAGGTAATCAAACAACGGTTTGCTGGTGTGCCAGCATAAACACTTGGTTATGCATCTGATTTTCTGTAAGGTCCACCTGCCGATGCACGAGGAACTAGATCTGTGTGAGTCGGAAGTTTTTTTACAGAGAGGCTTTTAAAATGATAGTTTAGTGTTTTCTCATTATTATGTGCAAATAACTCTGAAATTGCGCGGAATTGAATTTTGATCATCTTTACATTGAAGTCTCCACTATATAGCTCTTTACTGCATTAGGTGGTACATTCAGCCTTAGTGTAGGTGTAGAATTAGCTTTAGATGTGTGTACATTAAAATTGTTTTCTTTTTTTTGCTTAGAGTATGAGCAAAATATTAGCCTCTAATATCTTTCCTTTAAATGAAAAATCATATTTGAATCAAAGAAGCTGTTAAAGTAATTACTGGATGTTTTTACTGCATACAAACTGAAAGTGTGTTCCACTTCCCTTTTCCTGAGATTATTCTATCTGGTTTTGCAAGGCTTGAGGGAGAGGAGTATGTTTTAAATTGAATCAAGACAAATCAACAGCACTGAAAGATCTCAAAAAGAAACATCTTATCTTAATCTTCTCAAAACCAGAGATTAAACAATCAGGGATGGTTTAGTGTTCAACCTGGTTATTTAGTTGGGATGAATTAGCCACGAGTAGTTTTCAGAAGTGACTGTTTCAATTGATAATATGATTGGTGAATCATGGGGGGGTATTGTTTTCAATTTTGATTTTATGGACATATTTGACCTTTCATGCAAGTTATATACAACAGTGCTGAAGGGATAGGACCTATTCTGAACTTGAAAGTCACTTCTATAGAACTGTTATAGGTTATATCCTTTGATATAAAGAAAATGTAAATTATGTTTTATTAGGACTTTTCAGAGAGCCAGGATGACATTTTTGAGGAATCAAATGTTAAAGATAATGAGGACTTCAGATTTGATGGATTTAGTATTAATGATTGCAAAGCACTGATCCAGACCAAGGTAAGGATTGCTCTGAAACTACTTCAGAGAATCACGGTGTATTTTCCATGTTGCTCTGTGCTGTAGCCAGCTGTTCTAGTGTATGCCCTAATGCCATTGTTGGTCCTGATACACTTGTTTGGATGTGGAGTTGATTTTTCCTCTGTGAAACCCAACTGACAGCTTTAGGAAAAGTACAATATAACATACCAAAAGCAAAAATAGAGGGGATACTGAAATACAAGGTTATTCATTACTGGATTATAACCTGGATTATAGGCCAAGTTACTTATTCGTTGAGAGAGAGCAGCAATAGATAAAATCTAGTCAGGGTGCTCTGATGACAAAGGAAAATCAGCGTGTTCTGTAAAAGGATCAACACCTCGATCACTGATGATTGTAACTCACTCCTAAAATATGCTAAGGGAGACATTAGGAGCAAAGCTGGTAGAGAAAAACCTGCCTTCAAACTTGCATTTCAGATACTCAGAATGATTTAGATTTGGTTTGTTTGCTTGAGAAGAAAACAGAAGCTGCTTAAGGTGGTGGATGCCCCATCCCTGGAGGTGTCCAAGGCCAGGCTGGATGGGGCTTTGAGCACCCTGGTCTAGAGGGAGGTGTCCCTGCCCATGGCAGGGGGGTTGGAACTGATGATCTTTAAGGTCCCTTCCAACCCAAACCATACTATGATTCTATGCTATAATTACAAGGATTTGAGAATGTTACTATTTTTAAGCTGTGTTATAAAACATACAGAGAAATGAAATTGAAATACTTCGGTTTTAGAGCAGTTTTGTCTTTGGTCAAACAAACCTTACTAATATCCGTTTCTTTCTTGCTAAAGCAATGCAAGTTGAAAGGAAAATTCTATGATTCTCACTGTTTAAAAAAAAAAAATCAATCAAGTTTTGTTTTCAACAAAGTATTTTGGGTGAATATTCTTAACCCAAGGTCCCTTCCTCAGCAGAGAAGAAACTTGAGCAGCTGCTGTTGCTGTGGAGATGCATAGTTTGAGGCACACATTCATTGGTGTGTTTAATTCTATTTATTGCACTGGACAATTATGATGTATACTGTTCTGGGAACCTTGTACATAAAAGTTGTTAGACTGGAGAATTCAGTAAGAAAACCAAAAGAAACTGTCCAGCTTATTCCTTCATAATTCAGTTCTGTTTTCTTCAATGAGCACATGAGGGTTGGATCACAGTAGCTGATAGATATTTGGAAATCTATGTAAAAATTAGATTGAAATATGCTAACTGATTAACTTACTGTAGGATGGAGAGAAATAAACTTAGTTTTTTTTTTCACTCAGCTTTCTGCATCACCGGATTCCAGGCCTGGTCATCTTTTTACCTGCAACCTCCTTTTAAAAACCACATCATCAAATGGAAATATGCAATATATAACAATCCCAAGGAAGAAGCACATTTTCACTACCCACAATTTAAAAATGAAATTTTTCAGTAGCGATGTTTTGGCTCATTTTCTTCAATGAGCACATAAGGGTCGGATCACAGTAGCTGATACATATTTGGAAATCTATGTAAAAATTAAATTGAAATATGCTAAGTGATTAAGTTACTGTAGGATGGAAAGAAATTAACTTAGTTTTTCTTTTTCACTCAGCTTTCTGCATCGCCGGATTCCAGACCTGGTCATCTTTTCACCTGTAACCTCCTTTTAAAAACCACATCGTCAAATGGAAATATGCAATATATAACAATCCCAAGGAAGAAGCACATTTTCACTACCCACAATTTAAAAATGAAATTTTTCAGTAGCGATGTTTTTTGAACCAAATGCACTTTTAAATCTTTTTTTCTTTTTTTTTTAACTGAATGCAGTTGACCTTCATTTTGTTACTGGCTTGGTACTATAGACTACATACGTTCTTTAGGAAGGAGAAATATTACTGTATATGAAGTACTTAAAGCCACATTATTAGGAGGTATTTACCGGATTTAATTGTGAAGTCAAAGGTATAATTTTGTCCTGCTAAATTTTGCTGCAGAGTCATGTCTCTCACAGTAAATCCAGCTGCAATCACACCATAAAGATACTCTGGTAGAGTACTCTCCTGAACTACTGGCCTTTCAGGCCTTAATGCCTCTTGGATCACAAACCTTGTTTTCCTGCCAAAATCTAAACACGCCTCAGGTGTGTTGTAAAGTGTGCCTTGTCACAACCTCTCCTCCTGTTCGGTCCGGTTTAGATCAGTTGACATCTGTTACTTTGCCACCACTGAACAGAATGAGAGGAGCCTTCTACATCTGGTGGCTTTCACCAGGCTTTAGGAAAATAAGACTGGTTTAGCTCCTGTCTGATAAAGCCTCCTGTGGAACGATGGGTAGAGTCAGTGACAGGTTCTGTTCTGGCGTTGGTTTCTAATTAAAATAAATCACCTTTTTGAAGCTGACTGTAACAGGACTTCTTGGATTCATTCAGCCACCAAACCCTTATGCCACACATCACCATGCTTGTTAAAGCTCAGCAATGGTGTAGTTCAGGACTTGCATTGCACAAGTCGTAAATTGCTGCCCTTTTGAAATTTTATTGTAACTATTAACTCTGTTGCCCATCTTCCTGCATGCTTGAGTGCCAGAGGGGATGCAGCACTCGGGGCTTCCTTGCCAACTGCAACAGCTTTGGTAAGAACTTTTACGCAAGTTATTAAAATATTTCCTGCTTTGGCCATTCAGAATATGAGAATTTTATATGGCTTTTAATTTTAAAGAGTTGCTAAGCACTGCAACTGACATCTTATATGTTAAAAGTAGGGAACAAACTTGGATATTCCCAAACTAAGTCAGTTAATTATAGCAGCCCTATTCTGTTCTTCAAATTAGGAATCCTACAAAGCACTGGCAGACTCCAACCCTTAATCTAGTAAACTGTTCAGCAGTGAAATTACAATTGCTGGAATAGCTTATAACTTTAGCAATGTTTATGATACCTCAGTGCTATTTGCATAGGATGAACTGTATATTGCTTATTCCTTACATACGAGATGCAAAAGGGGAAAAAAACCTGTTTTGTCATGTTCTTATAAAGCTCCGAGCAGGAAGGTTCCCAAACTAAGTCAGTTAATTATAGCAGCCCTATTCTGTTCTTCAAATTAGGAATCCTACAAAGCACTGGCAGACTCCAACCCTTAATCTAGTAAACTGTTCAGCAGTGAAATTACAATTGCTGGAATAGCTTATAACTTTAGCAATGTTTATGATACCTCAGTGCTATTTGCATAGGATGAACTGTATATTGCTTATTCCTTACATATGAGATGCAAAAGGGAAAAAAACTGTTTTGCCATGTTCTTATAAAGCTCCGAGCAGGAAGGTGCCTAGGGGCCAAAGTAAGGACAACTCAAACAGGATCAGGCCAGCCACAGACTTAAATATATACTCTGTTACTCTGCAGAAGTCCCCTCCACACAATACATTTCAATAAAACTGCGTATTTTCAGAAGTAATCTGAAAAGAAGCCTCATCGCTCCCCTTTGCCGAGCTGGTCAGGCAGAAACCTAAGCAAAGAATTGCCGCTACCCGGAGGCGGCGCAGGGGCGAGTTACCAAGGGGCAGCTGGCCAGAACCGACGGCCCAGCGCCCCTCGTCCCACAGCAGCGCTCCTTTTCACGGAGAGACGGCCCTGACCCACACGGTGCCCCCCAACCCGGTACCGGCGGCAGCGCCGCTCCCCTCAGGACGGCGCCCTCCCGGACCCGCTCCCCTCAGGACGGCGCCCAGCTCCCGCCCCTCCGTCCTGACCAATCCCCGCCGCGCCCCGCTCCCCTCCGCGCCATCCCATTGGTTGAGAGGACCGGGTGGGCGTGTCGGCGGCGGCGGAGGGGGGGCAGGAACGGGGTTCCTCAGTGGGAGCGGCGGCCGGTCCTTCGGCCGCGCCTCCGCGGGAGGACGGTGGGCACCGCAAATTAAGGCAGGTCGGCGTGAGCCTGTAAAGTAACAGTCACGGACGTTCTGCACGGAGTGATTTTAACGGCGAGGGGAGTAGTAGTAGTTTCCGCTGGGAGGAGCGGCCCGGCCCGGCCCGCCCCGGAAGCGGCGGGGCCGCCATGGGCCGGGCGGTGACTGTGGCCACCTGCGCCCTCAACCAGTGGGCCCTGGATTTTGAGGGCAACCTGGAGAGGATTTTCAAAAGTGAGTGGGGCGGCGGTACCTCCTACCCCTAACCCCTTCCCCGCCAGCCCCCCGGGGCGTTTCTCGCCCGGCTGTGCCGGCTTTGGGCTGTCCGGTTCACCAGGCCCCGGGGGCGGCTGATGAGGGCGGGCCGGGCCCGGGGGTGCGGGCGGTGTTTGATCCCACCCTCTTCCAGGTATTGACATCGCGAAAAGCCGAGGAGCCCGGTACCGGCTTGGGCCTGAGCTCGAAATCTGGTAAGAGCGCTGTGTGGGTTCTGGGTGTGAGACGGTCCCGGTTAATTACCGGAGAATGGCGGTAAGAAAATCAGCCACGTACCGCTCGAGTGGCCAAAGAGCCCGGCTGTCAGTGCAGACCAAAACGTTGCCCTTGCAAGCACAAGGTTGGGTCTCTTCTCTTGGATATGTGATCAGTGCCGGTAATTAGAGAGCTACCAAGCTGGTGAGGGGTCTGGAGAACAAGTCGTATGAGGAGAGGCTGAGGGAACTGGGCATGGTTAGTTTGGAGAAGAGGAGGCTGAGGGGAGACCTCATTGCCCTCTGCAACTACCTGAAAGGAGGGTGTAGAGAGGTGGGGGTTGGCCTCTTCTTCCGAGGGAATAATGACAGGACCAGAGGAAATGGTCTGAAGCTGCGGCAGAGGAGGATTAGATAAGATATTAGGAAGAATTACTTTACTGATAGAGTGGTCAGGCACTGGGACAGCCTGCCCAGCGACGTGGTGGAGTCACCATCCCATGAAGTATTTAAGAAACACTTAGACATGGCACTTCAGGGCATGCTCTAGAGGCTGAGATCGTGGGGGTCTTTTTTGTGTGTATGTTTGGATCTCAGTGGTCCTTTCCAACCATGAAGATTCTGTGATTTGTTGACCTATTTCAGTTAGTCTTGGTCCACAGAAACTCATGATTCAGCCTCAGCTGCTGCTCCTGAAGGAATGTCCCAGTGATGCCACAGCATTTAGAGTGCTGTCAGTAGGGATGATGCTGGTGGGGCTTCTCCTGCCATTCTGTACAAACTGATGGGATGTTCCTGGTTGGAAGCAGTTCTGGTCCTGTGGCTCTGGTGTAGACATTGGCTGAATTTTTTATTTCTTCTGTTTTTACCTGCAGTGGTTACGGCTGCTCGGATCATTATTATGAGTCTGACACGCTTTTGCATTCGTTTCAAGTCCTGGCAAAGCTGCTGGAGTCTCCAGCTACTCAAGATATTATCTGTGATGTGGGAATGTAAGTATTTTTTCGTGTAAAGATGACAAAGTGGTAGATTTTTAGGAGTGCTGCCCCTGCTGTATTTCTGGATAGTGAGGGCTTTGGCAGGGGGGTTGGACTAGGTGATCTCCAGAGGTCCCTTCCAACCCCATATCATTCTGTGATTCTGTGTTTATATGTAACACAAAGGGCTTTATAAATTATCTCTCTTTGAGGAGTGTTGGGGCTGATGTAACTTGCTTTGACTGACAGACGCCCTTATAGGCGACATGTGTATGGCAAAGTCACTGAAACTGTTGTAAATCATGTGCTGACAGTGATAAATTATAACTGTAAAATTAACATATATGCATCTACTTTTTTTTAGTATTGATAGAAACACATAAAACTAGCCTGGTAATGTCACAGGGAGTCAAGTTTGATTAAATAAGTTAGTTCAACTGGGGAAGATCTTGTGGCCTGGTTGTGTTTCTCCGGCATTCCAGTGCTCTGGCAGTAGTTGATGTATCTGAAACTGACAGAATGGTCAGTAACTCTGTTTTTTTTTGCAAACAACTATTTGAATTATAAAATGAGATGCTAAAACTTGATGTATTTTGTTTAATTCGCTTTAGCGATGAAGTGTAGAAGTGTTTTATTTAAAATATTTTTTTGCAGTGAAGTAGCTTCTGTAGTTTTTTTTTTAAATTTCTTTTAATGAAACTGATTACTCCGCTTATTTTCACAGGCCTGTTCTGCACAGAAACGTTCGCTACAATTGTCGAGTGATCTTTCTAAATAAGTGAGTAGTTTCTTTATGTGTTTTAGGAGACAATATATTAGTATGTCCTTTGAGAGACCTGTTTGGCCTTCAAGAAAGATTCTTCAGTGCTATGTAGAGCGATGGAGTTGTCTTCCTATCTACTAAATTTTGGAGAGACACCTAGTGTTTTCCATTATCTTTTTCCTTTCTGAATTTGTAGAAACTAAATTTCCACAGCTTTCTGAAAGACCCAAGAAAAAAGCCCTTAGGTCTGCAAAGAGAAAAAATTATTATAGGTAATAGTTGTTTAATGGACATCATAATAGAAAAAAAAGGGTTGGTGTTAATCCGTATTCTTATTTAGTCTTGTTTGGCTGTACGTCAGGTCTTAACTCACCCTTTCTGTTTTGTTTTAAGGAAAATTCTTCTGATCAGACCAAAGATATCACTGGCAAATGCAGGAAACTACAGGGAACTTAGATGGTTTACCCCGTGGAGCAAAGCAAGGTAGGCTGGTTACTGTTAAAATTGTGTTTAAAAACCACAGCTTGCTGTTTGCAGCCACAGCAGAAAGGTTGAAATCTCTACAGCAATCCATCAGTGCAGCTCCGGGGTGACCAGCAAGACAGTCAGCTAAGCTATGAAATTTAAGTTTATTAAAGACAGTCAAACTCTGAATTGCTGAGCCAGAAGGAAAAGTGTGTCTCAATGATCCTGCAACCAGTGTAGTAGCATCATTTCCCTGATGTCTACTTTCTAATTATATGCAGTTCAGGATTGGAAGAGCCTGTGTTTATCGGCTCGATTGCTGCATCCTCTTCAATATTAAACTGGAAAAACCAATGTGAAATGGAGGAGAGAATTTTAATGACTGCAGGGGATGAAAGCTACGTACCTTGTGATGCTGCAGAATATGCTTGATGCTCATCTCTGATCCTGTGTACTGGTCCTGTAGTGAGAGAATGGTTCTGACTTGGTGGTCTCAGTAAAGTATTTCTGAGAGAGCCCCTGAGCATCTGTCCCAGTCAATTCCAGCTGAGTTCTGAGTTACTCCTGTAGTAATGCTGCAAAAAGGGAAACTTTTATTTGATATTTGGCTTCCATGATGTGTTCTTTGTTAAGTCTAGTTTATAGTTAGGAAGAAGCATCATTTACTGTGCATTTCTGAAGCAAAGTGGGATGTTGCTTGATTATAATCTTTACACTTCTGATCAATTTCACAGAAAGTATGAAGGTCCTTTTTTATTTTTTTAACGTACACAGCCCTGTACACCTGAAGTACAATTTCTTTAATCAGTGTTAAAAGGTGCCAGAATGTGGTGATAACCTACACAGCCCTGTACACCTGAAGTACGATTTCTTTATTCAGTGTTAAAAGGTGCCAGAATGTGGTGATGAGAATCAGTTTTGGTGCTGTGATTTACATAACGATGTATTCACATCCTGTACATCTGCTTTAGGCATGTGGAGGAATATTTTCTACCCAGGATAATTCAGGAAGTGACTGGACAGGTAAGTTTTTAAAGGATTCTTTTTCTTTTTAAGTGCAGCATCTTCCTCATTTTCATTCAGCAATTTAAATGAATAGAATTTGGAGCATAAAAATGTAATACACCGAATTCTGCCGTCAGCTGTGTTGCAAATTCATAGCTTCCAGTGATAGCTCTTGGTTACGTTAAATGAGAGCATAATTTAACCTTGTTTGGCAGGAAAGCAAGTTAATTTTAAATTTGTCTCGGTTATTTTTATATTCAGGTTCTTGACTGTCTTATTTTGCACAGTTTGGTACTGAGTTTATCTGTGCTTGGGACTAGAAATGAGTATGTGTTTTTAGGTTAAAAAAAAAAAATTAACCTTTTTTTTATTTAGAAGGGTCTAAAACTTAGGTTATTTCCTGCTAAAGCATAAGCGTGTTTCCTGGCAAAAGACAGTCTCTGGTTTGTAGATTGTTTAATTCCAAAGCAGTTGCGCTGTTCTGAAGCAAAACGCTGGATCTGAATTTAGCTGAAATTTCAACACAATTTCAGTACAAACCAGAAATTTGCAGTTTAGAGTTTGGAGTTTTTTTTGTTTGGTTTTTTTTGCACTTGATATAAATGAAGAAAGGTGTAATGTGATTGGTATCATGTCACTCATTTCAGATAAGTGAGTATTTAGTTTTTATATATATATTTTTTTAAGATTGTAGCTAACTTCTTGAATTGAATAGATTCTTCTGTTTCGTGTGTTAAAGGATGTTCTTGTTTTTTCTCAGGAAACTGTTCCTTTTGGGGATGCAGTGCTAGCAACCAAAGATACCTGCCTGGGGGCAGAAATATGTGAAGAACTCTGGGCACCAAACAGGTAAAGGAGAAGAAGAAATGGAAAGTAAACTAAAACATACCCTGGGCCTACCTGAAAAAAAAGTTTGAAAAAAATCTGCTTATTATTCTTGTACATAGTATGTCTTTCAGAAAGTGCCAGTGAGCTAAAATATAATTAGGAGCAATAAATATATCTTGGGAAAGATTTCACTAGGCTACATGCAGGACGGCAAAAGGAGTTTTAGGTGATTAGGCTAAATTCATTTGGAACAGAAGGTAGGTGAGAAATACTGAAAAGAAGTGGAATGAAACAGGTGACTGGAAGGAAAAAATGGCAGATCTCTCATTGGTAGACTTCTTGTTCCAGATACTCTTCAGCTTTTAGTTCAACCTGAGGTTGAAATGTCCTCTCTGGATCCGACTCTATAGCTTGATCTAGGATCAAAGTGGCAAAGTTTATTTTGTATCAATTTGTAGTATCAATTTTGTCTCTTAATTATAACCCTGTATTATTCCCGTGTGCTGCACCTAGTCTTAAAAATTTGAGACTACGGTTAGATCTTTTTATTTTAATTACTTTATTCTTTTTATCTTTGGCTTTGTCCAACTCCACCAAAGCATTCCACTGGACAGGCAAATTGAGCTGTCTTATATTTGTCAAGCTAGAGCAAGGTTTCTAGGAACACTACTTTGAGGTGTATCAGGTGGTTTTTTTTCTATTTAGCTGTTAGTTTAAGCCTTCTGCTTCATTTTTTAACCTGCATCAGACAACACATAAAGACAACGCAGAAGGAAACAACAAGAAGTCACTAAGGGAAAGCAAAGCCTAGTGCCCTTAAGTAATATTTCCTGTTATTATTTTAGTTCCTGTCACAATTTAGAGTTCTTCCCAATGACAAAAAGGATCCTGCTCACAAAGGTCTGATGCAGGGTGGGGCTGGAGATATGAAAAACATGAAAGCTGTTGTACTTAAAATAAACAAAATGTTCCTGATGTTTTTCCAAATCTCCCAGATGTTCATTTCCTTGTAACTTCAGAAAGTGTGGTATGTTACAGACAAAGTTGTGTTATTTTTTAGGTGTTTTTTTTTTTATTTTGACATTGGAGAAAGAAGGAAAAAAAAAAAGCCTCAGTGAAAGTATTTTCCTTCTCATGGCTCTATTTGCCTATGCTTTGGGATTTACTAAGAGAGAAGGAAAATGGGACAACTGATCTTGAAAGAGTGTTGCCATGTTGCCCTTTCAGACTGAGATTGTCTTATTCTCTCTTTCTTTGAGACACAGGTAAAGTAGAAGGCATTGCGTTTAGAACAGAAGGAGCAAAAGCCCTTCTGCCCTCTGTAACCACTGCTGGTCTTTGGCAGGAGAGTGAGGAAATGCAAGAAAATAGATGTTTTTTGAGAGTCCTGTCCTTGTTCAAGACATGCAGAAAACTGGCGATGACATAGATGTTTTTATTTGTCGGTGGTTTTAACTGATACCTGCGGGTCACAGCCTAGTTTTGCGAGCTGAATTTTTTCCTGCCTTTCTCTTTGCCAGCCCTCACATTGAAATGGGACTTGATGGCGTGGAAATTTTCACTAACTCTTCAGGGAGTCACCATGTGCTGCGGAAGGCTCACGCCCGGGTGGATTTGGTGAATTCTGCCACAGCAAAGGTATACGCTTTAAACAATATATATTTTTTTTTGGTTATACACCTCATTTTTTTTTTTTTTTTTTTTAACTGTCTCCTCTACTGTGACAGGAGGTAGCATGTGCGTGGGGGCCTTGACAGTCATTGTTGTTAGTTTCTTTCCAGATTTTCATTCACATAGCAACATTGCATTGGAGAAACATCAATAGGGGAAACAGAAATCAGTGTTTAAAGTTGCACTTCTTCCCCACCCCCCCCATCATTTTACTTAAAATATATAAAATTTTTCTACTTCGAAAATTCTGTTTATTTTAAAGAAGAGAGGACATTTAGTTAATAGACTGTAATCCTGTCTAACAGTGATGGGGACAAAAACAAAGTAAGGAATATGCTTTACACTGTGAAAAATGTTTAATTTGTTCAGCTGCTTTGTCACTGTAATTTAACGTGCTTTGGTTACATTTAGCAGTATCTGCTCTGTCCTCAGATACCCGAACACAGCTTCTGTCATCATCTTTCTGCTTTTCTCAATTTCAATTTGAATTTAGAATTTCCATTTAGAAGTGCAGCCCTAGAGCTCACTACATTTACTCGTGTGGTTACACACGACAGAAGCAAGTATCACATGCAAAGTACTTTTTCAAATGACAAGAGAGAGTCCCAGCCTAAGTCATTCGTAATATAAAAACAGAGGAAGATTATAAGGGCAGGAACAGAGAAATAACATTTTGTCTTTTGGCATTCTGTCAGGTGCTATATGCTGAAGAGCATTTTTTTGTCTGCATGTTTGTTTTCCTCTCAGAATGGTGGAATATATGTTTTAGCTAACCAGAAGGGCTGTGATGGTGATCGTCTGTATTATGATGGCTGTGCCATGATTTCAATGAACGGAGAAACAGTTGCACAGGGATCCCAGTTTTCACTTGATGATGTGGTAAGATACTCAACCTGTAGCTGCTATTTACATGTGGAATTAGTAGCTCTCCTGCTTTTGCGAGCGAGGAAGAGCTTTTGCAGTGGAGGAGCCTTATGAAAACATTTGCATAGTAGCTGCTACTTACAGGTGGAATTAGTAGCGAGCGAGGAAGAGCTTTCTCAGTGGAGGAGCCTTATGAAAACATTTGCATATGCAATCACCATGTTTAGGAGAGATGCTGTTAATTTATTTTCCCTTATCTAAGAAAAAAAAGGACAAATTATGACCTGGTTTGGTAGACAAAAAGTTTGATAGGTTGAGCTTTACTTCCAAAAGCTCTTTCCCAGTAGATTTGTCATCAAAGTTGTAGGTTTCCTCACATTATCTGCAAAACTCCTCCCCTTCCCCAGTCCGCTTCTTGCCTTTTCTACTTGTCCTTTGCTGCAGTTGATGACTCTTCAGCCTTCTGACAAGTGCTATAAATCTGTTTGGTTTATGAGCATCCTGGTGTGCTCAGTGAAGCGAGTCAGTTGTGCTGGCTTTGTAATGTAAGCGATTCTGCTGAGTCAGAAGTGACCTGTGCAGTCAGCATAAAAATCTGTGTTGAAAAAAGTCGCCTGTGTTCTTCTTCCCCAACATTTTTTGTAGTCTGGGCCTGTCAAACCTTGTTTATCTGTCTGGGTAAATTCAATCTAATGTTGAAAGGCTTTCCATAGGAGGTGCTGGTGGCCACTCTGGACTTGGAGGACGTTCGGAGTTACAGAGCAGAGATTTCATCTCGTAACTTAGCGGTAAGAATTCTTTATGGACGTTATGTTTGTAAACTCTGCCAAGTTTGTAATAGTTATGGAATCTTAAAAGTATTTTCATGTCTCGATTTTCACAGTGTTCTATAGATCTGCTGTTTTATAGGTATATGCTGCATTAAAATTGATGTCTTCCCAATTCTTGTGTATTATTGCTTAGGCAAGTAGAGTGAATCCTTATCCCAGGGTAAAAGTGAATTTTGCTCTGTCATGTTCTGATGATGTAGCTGTACCTACGTGTATGCCAATCCAGTGGAGACATCATAGTCCTGAGGAGGAGATCAGGTAACCACGTACTCAGTCTGTTGCTTGAAAATTATTTTGATTTAAACAAACAACAACCATAAGATCTCATTTATATTTAAGTAAAGAAAGTATCTCATTGGAAGAGCACAGTAAATATGTTGATTTGCCTAAGTCTTATTCCATAACCCTCTTGGAATGACTATGTTCTGTAATTTCAGCCTTGGTCCTGCATGTTGGCTTTGGGACTACTTAAGGCGCAGCAAACAGGTAAGAACAACTGTTTTTGTTCTTTGCCTTGGCACACACATCTTCTCTGTTGTCCCAGGGACAGCACAGATTGCTGTCCTGTGCTGCTCTTCGTGCAAAGTGATCATAGTCCAAGGTGCAAGTTTTTCACTGGTAGCTCATTCAGACCTAAAACCCATATGCAAAGTGTGACGTTCGTGCAAAGTGATCTTAGTCCAAGGTGCAAGGTTTGAGTTTTTCACTGGTAGCTCACTCAGACCTAAAACCCATATGCAAAGTGTGACCTCAGTATGCTCTTCAGACCTTTTCCTGAGGAATTCTCATTTCTTTGAAAGCAATAGTCAAGATTACCTCATCAAGGGGATTTCTTTTCTTTGAAACGCTGTTTTTTCAGTGAGGAAAATATTTTAATGTGTAATGGAGATGTTTACAATAAGCAGAGTGACATGAACTAGAAATTCGGTTTTATAGTGAAATATATATGAAAAATTTAATCCTTTTTATTAGCTCTTCTGACTAACTTCCAGTATGTCTTTACCCTCTAGTATTTCTAGCCAAAGGGTTTACACCAACTACTTGCTTGATTATCCAGTTGATGAGAGTTTAAGAGGGTTTGCTGTGTCTGGTTTGTTTGGTTTTCCCCAGCAGAATATAAGCAGACTTGGACAATGCACGTGTAATTCTTTTAGAAGAATATGTTTCTGAATGGTACAATATATGTTTTTCTAATTTTGCTATTTGGAATGTCTTCTTTGCTCTATTTTCAAGGCAGGATTTCTCCTCCCTCTTAGTGGTGGAATTGACAGCTCTGCTACAGCTTGCATAGTGTACTCTATGTGTCACCAGGTTTGCCTGGCAGTCAGGAATGGAAGTAAGTAGATGTGCATGTCTGGCTTAGCTGTGCTTTCTAATGGTTATCGACAGGTTAATATTAGCTGGGGGCAATAGGTGCAAGAGGTCATTAATGGTAGACTCTTGCCTAATTGTTCTAATGGAATCCTTTGTATTTCTTCAGAAATTCCAGCAAAAACGTGTGTCCAGGTTACAGGTTCCTTGGATTGGCTTAATAGTTTTAATTTTGGGTTTAAGAATTGGATGTGTAGCTCAGACTAGTTTCTGGCTAGAGTGCTGTTCAAAGTGTTGGCTGATATAGTTTTGGGATTTCAGTTTATCATGAGAATTTTCTCCTCCTGTTAAATTCAACACTACAAAACAGGGTTAGGCATGGTTCAAGCTCTTAAACAGGCTTTAAGTAGACTATGCATTTAGCTAAGCCTTTGTACGTGTTAGATTATATTTTCTATGAGGTCTCTTTAAGACATAGAACAATCATAGAATCATAGAATTGCCCAGGCCAGAAGGGACCTCCAAAGGTCATCTAGTCCGACCTCCCCACAGTCAGCAGGGACACCCCCAACTAGACCAGGTTGCCCAGGGCCTCATCGAGCCTCACCTTGAATATCTCCAGGGAAGGGGCCTCAACCACCTCCCTGGGCAACCTGTTCCAGTGCTCCACCACCCTCACAGTGAAGAACCCTCTCCTCATCTCCAGTCTAAATCTGTTCCCCTCAGGCATGGTTCAAGCTCTTAAACAGGCTTTAAGTAGACTATGTGCATTTAGCCAAGCCTTTGTACGTATTAGATTGTATTTTCTGTGAGGTGTCTTTAAGGCATAGAACAAAAGGATTTAATAGTTCCATGTTCAAAATTAGGACCACAATTAGTAATCCTTTTATTTGATATATGAAAAAAATGTTTGGGGATTGAGATGGTAGATTCATCTTATTTTTGAGGGGCAGCGTAAAGCTTAATTGGAATACAAGAAACATACGAGATATGGCAGGGGGGTTGGAACTCGATGATCTTTGAGGTCCCTTCCAACCCTAACCATTCTATGAAAATTAGGAGCAAAATTAGTAATCCTTTTATTTGATATATGAAAAAAATGTTTGGGGACTTAGATGGTAGATTCATTTTATTTGTGAGGGGCAGTGTAAAGCTTAATTGGAATACAAGAAACATACGAGATATTTGCATATCCTGGATAGTGCATATCCTGGATAGTGGAAGCACAACAATTTCCACTCTTCTATCTGTCTCTTTTGCTCTGTCCCCAGATGCAGATGTGCTGGCTGATGCACGCAGGATTGTGAACAATGAGACCTACGTCCCCGAGGACCCTCGAGACTTTTGCAAGCGTGTCTTTACCACTTGCTACATGGCCAGTGAGAACTCCTCCCAGGAGACTTGCGACAGGGCTAAGCTTCTGGCTGAGCAAATAGGCAGGTACAAGCTGAGAAGCCCTGGGGGAAAAAATCATGTTCTGGCAAAGACTGCCATCTAAAGCTTTCAACCTCTAAAATAGGAAAAAACGGGAGAGGAATAGCAGGTGTGATAAGTAAATTATAATTTAAGTATTTTGGGCCCCCTACCATAAAAAAGACAGCGCAGGATTGTGAACGATGAGACCTATGTCCCTGAGGACCCTCGAGACTTTTGCAAGCGTATCTTTACCACTTGCTACATGGCCAGTGAGAACTCCTCCCAGGAGACTTGCGACAGGGCTAAGCTTCTGGCTGAGCAAATAGGCAGGTACAAGCTGAGAAGCCCTGGGGGAAAAAATCATGTTCTGGCAAAGACTGCCATCTAAAGCTTTCAACCTCTAAAATAGGAAAAAACGGGAGAGGAATAGCAGGTGTGATAAGTAAATTATAATTTAAGTTTGCATATCCTGGATAGTGGGAGCACAATTTCCACTCTTCTGTCTCTTTTGCTCTGTCCCCAGATGCAGATGTGCTGGCTGATGCGCGCAGGATTGTGAACGATGAGACCTATGTCCCTGAGGACCCTCGAGACTTTTGCAAGCGTATCTTTACCACTTGCTACATGGCCAGTGAGAACTCCTCCCAGGAGACTTGCGACAGGGCTAAGCTTCTGGCTGAGCAAATAGGCAGGTACAAGCTGAGAAGCCCTGGGGGAAAAAGGGTTCTCAGGCATTGGAATGGGCTGCCCAGGGAGGTGGTTGAGGCACCATCCCTGGAGGTGTTCAAAAGACGGGTTGATGTAGTGCTGGGAGATATGGTTTAGTGATGATGCTCCTTGTTTGTTGTGCGGGTGTCTATTTTTGTCAGTTAGGTTGACGGTTGGACAAGATGATCTTTAAGGTCCCTTCTAACCTAGAAGATTCTGTGATTCTGTGATATGAGGCAAACTTAACAGCATTTTGGTGAAGGACGTGGAAATTGGGAAACAGACTCTGGGAAGTGTTATTCTTCATACCAGATCTGAGATGGGAGCAGTTTTAAAACATCGTTTGATGGGTGGGGTTTTGGCTTTTTTTAAAAATGTTATTTTGTATAGTCAGATTGTGCTAATTGAGTCACTTCTGCTTGAATTCTTCTCAGCTACCACATCAATCTGAACATCGATGGGGCTGTGAAGGCTATTGTGGGGATTTTCAGCATGGTGACAGGTCGAGTGCCCCGTTTTTCTGTCTACGGAGGGAGCAGCAGAGAAAACCTGGCGCTCCAGAATGTGCAGGTGTGTTTCATGTGGGCTGGGTCAGCTCACATCCTTTTTTTTTTTTCCAGAAAGGAGTACAAAATGGTAAAGTAGCATTTAATTGGCATTGCTCTGAAAAGCTGAACTTCCAGTAAATGCTTGTTGGCAGCAGAAGTCTACAATCCCACATAACTCAGGAGAATACCAAAATTATGTCTACCACAGAAAAGACATTGAGGTGATGGAGCAGGTCCAGAGAAGGGCAGCAAAGCTGGTGAAGGGTCTGGCCTATAAGTCGTATGAGGAGAGCCTGAGGGAGTTGAGGTTGTTCTGTCTGGAGGAAAGGAGGCTGAAGGGAGACCTCCTTGCTCTCTACAACTACCTGAAAGAAGGTTGTAGAGAGGCAGGGGTCAGTCTCTTCTCCCCAGTCACCAGCGATAGGACAAGAGGAAATTTGCTCAAGTTGCACCAGGGGAGGTTCAGTTTGAATGTTAGGAAACATTTTTACACTTAGAGGGTTATTAAGCCTTGGAATGGGCTGCCCAGGGAAGTGGTTGAACCACCATCCCTGGAGGTATTCAAAAGACGGGTTGACATAGTGCTTAGTGACATGGTTTAGTGATGGTTTTTTTTATCAGTTAGGTTGATGGTTGGACTAGATGATCTTAAAGGTCCCTTCCAACCTAGACAATTCTATTCTATGATTGTATAATTATTGTTTGTGACTTTAATAGGATAGTCAGGAAGAAATAGTACATGCCTGTATCCCATCAATAGCATCTGTTTAGTAATTATTGTTTGTGACTTTTATAGGATGGTCAGGAAGAAATAGTACCTGCCTGTATCCCATCAATAGCATCTGTTTAGATACTGTTTAGAAAAGCATCCTGACAGAGTGCCAGGGCAGGAAAATGAGCAGCAAAATATTCCAATAGACAGGTCTCCGTCCATTAGGATTGTGGCAGGTGAAGACTCAAAAATATTGCTGATATAGACTAGGCTTCCCTTTAGTGAGTGTTAGCAAGCTTTAAAAGGCTCCATGTGAGATGTCAGGCTTACCCATTCCAAGTCCTAGATATCCTCAGTTTTAGAAGGTAAACGAGATGTTTAGACAGATGGTTTATCTGCATACTTCATCCCTCATGGATCCTCATAGGAGATAGAAATGGCAACTATTCCCTATTCTGCAATTCTGAGTAGAATAAACTTTCCAAGTTGTGTAAATCTGGCAATAGTGGGTACTGAACCTGTTTTTCCTATGCGTGTTCACCAGCTTCTCCACAAGCCCATCCTTCTTGCATTAACATTTACCCCTCTGACATTTTGTTCTTTATGGTTTTTTTTAGGAAATTGATTAAGAAAAAAAAACCCTGTAAATTTGCTTTATTTTTCATTTTGCTTTACAGGCTAGAATAAGAATGGTCCTCGCCTACCTGTTTGCTCAGCTGACACTATGGACCCGTGGGATGCCAGGGGGACTTCTGGTGCTGGGATCAGCCAACGTGGATGAAAGGTTGGTGAAAGTTAGAAATCTAAAATCAGGTGAACTGGGAAGAGGTCACTGCGCTTCCTCACACCTCTACCAAATCCCAGTGTAGGTTATTACTCAGAAAAGATAACAAGCTAAGAGTACATTGATAGCAGTGAAATTAATGAAAATAGTTTAATTGGCCTTCATGGGAAATTGTCTGTTTTTCAGAAGCTTAGCCAAAGTATTGGCATCGTTTTCCAATAAAATGCTGCTCCTTCCTTAGCTGTTTTCAGTAGAGCTCGCCTGGGCAGTTACCAGGTTAGCTTTCCAATATTTTCAATTACTGCAATAGAAATTAAGTTGTTAAGTTTGAGTTGAAAAATGCATGTTGAAAGACTGGAGCACTGTTATGAGAGCTGACTATTTGAAGGTCAAAGCAATTCCCATTGTGAGACTGATAACATCACAAGCTGGGAGAATAGCGTGTGCTGATTCTATAGGTGTTTAGGGGTTTATTTTTCATCAGTTGGTCAGGACAGTATTTTAATAGTTTTGCATCAAATACATTGCCTTAACATGGGCAGTTTTGCAGTGCTTCATAATTGTGTAAAATACTGTCTTCCTCCTCCTGGTAATTTCATGGCTTTAGGATAGCCCTGTTGCAGCTATACATTTGCCCTTTATATATAAATACAGGAACAGTGTGCAGTCTGTTTCTCCCTGTCTTTAAACTACATATATATAGTCTATAGTATAAACTATATACATATATACATTATTATTTACTGTTACTATATACAATTTCCTCTCTGGCTCAGTCTTCGAGGTTACTTGACGAAGTATGATTGCTCAAGCGCCGATATCAATCCCATTGGTGGAATCAGCAAGACTGATTTGAAGAACTTCATACAATATTGCATTGAAAATTTCCAGCTCACAGCCCTCAGAAGGTGAGTCCTGAAGCAGTGAGGTTTGGTGACTGCATTTGTAGGCAGCACGTTGTGGGCTTCACGGTTTGGTTTTCTCTACTTTGCTTTTTAAACATGAAACGACTTGCAAGTACCACTTCTTTAGAGTTATCTAGTCCTTTAACAGCTTATGCCCTGAAAAAGTTCTGAATAAAGCATTTGTTTTTTAACAAACCATGCTGTTTATTACCTAGTACTCATGAGATTGGACAGAATTCACATTTTCCTTTCTACCTTTTTCTTACAGTATCATGTCAGCTCCACCCACTGCAGAGTTAGAGCCCCTGGTGGATGGACAAGTGGCTCAAACTGATGAGGTAATGCTCTGGTAAGCTTTATCCCAAAATCTGTTTTTTGCCCAATAACTATTGTTTCCTCTTGTACGTATACATGCTTTTTGACAAGCATATGGTAAACAATCTTAAAGCCACTGACAAGGCATTAGTATCCCACACCAGCCTTATCTATGTTGACAGCAGTTTCCAAAACAGCAAATTAACTTATTTAAAATATTTTTATATTTTGGGCACTTTGAAGGATGAGTGATCTGAAATGCAGTTTGTTTTAAAGTTTCTTAATATCAAAAGCGAGTCAATCAGTGAATTTACTGCTAGTGAAATGGCTGGTGGCAAAACTGTTTTTCTTGTCCTTCCACCCCTCTCTTTAGAGTCAATCAGTGAAATGGCTGGTGGCAAAGCTGTTTTTCTTGTCCTTCCACCCCTCTCTTTGCTATCCCCATGGATAAGGGAGGATTGGTGAGCCTGACAACTACCCCTAAGGGCTGTTGGGTGTTCAACTGCAGGATATTGTAAAACTCTTTGTGATAAAGCAAAGGGTTGCTGAATTAGAATTAGTGGTTTTCTTAATTTGGCCTTACGTTACTCATAGATACTAGATTTAAGCTACCTCGAAGGGAAAAGTAACAAATCCTTTGAAGGACATAAATGTTTTCACTGGCCAAAGCAACCTTACATTACTGATAGATACTACATTTAAGCTACCTAGAAGAGAAAATTAACAAATCTTTTGCAGGACATAAATGTTTTCACTGGCCAAAGCAAATACCTTCATAGAATGATTTCAAACCTCCCACTTCAGAGAGATTCCAGTTAGGGTTTTTTTGTTTGTTTTCTTTTTTTTTCATTCTGCTCATAGTATTACTATCTCTTTGTCTTTTTGGTCATTGGCAATTTCATTTTGGTGTTTCTTTGATTAAACTGGGTTATTGTAATTGCTCCATAAAACTTATTAGTTATAAATTGCATAGTTAAGATTTTCAGTGACTTTGTACGTGTTTGATTGCAGGCAGATATGGGGATGACATATGCAGAGCTCTCAATCTATGGCAAATTAAGAAAAATTGCAAAGGCTGGACCATACAGTATGTTTTGTAAGCTGATTAATATGTGGAAGGAAATTTGTACTCCAAGAGAGGTAATATTAAAAAAAAAAATCAAATCACGTAATGTCTTTGCCAAAATCAATGCGTTTGGAGAAAGGCTGAGTAGGGTTCCTGTCAACTGGAAGAGTTAGTTTAATTATTCTCTATTTAGAGAGAATGTGTTTGGAGAAAGGCTGAGTAGGGTTCCCCTCAACTGAAAGAGTTAGTTTAATTATTCTCTATTTAGAGGTTATTCTTACAGGTGTAGCAGAGTATGCTGAAAAAACTGGTATGTGTCTCTTGAATGAATGGAGCTTGTTGTCTGTGTTGCAAATTGTTTAAACGTAATTGGGTAATTTGAAAACAATTAATTCAGAACTATACCTTCTGGGGGAAATTATTCTCTGAAATATACATGGCTGGCTATTCTTAAAGCCTTTGGTTACATATTCTGAAGCAGAAAATGGCTCTTGCTTTGAAAGACCATCTACACTGAAGATCTATCTGCTTTGCTGTTGGGCAGTTCTTCCTTTCTTGTGCATAAAGGAAAAAGTTCAGTTTATCACCGGAGTTGCAGAGGCTTGTGTGTACTGTTAAGTTTCTTACAAGGCACTTCCTTGTTGGTAAATGTTGCACACAGAGACCGAGGAGGTGTCTGAAAATGGTCTTAAATGCCTCTTACAGATAGGGTCATCCACAGTGATTTATGCTACTAGTGGTAGTTAATTTATGTAAACGTTAATGGAAGCAAACGAATGCGTAAAGGTAGAACACATTCTCAGCTGAATTTTTAAGTACTAAGAATCTTCATCTGATTAAAAGCTATATTCTTTGTACACCAGGTGGCATCAAAGGTTAAGCATTTCTTCAGGATGTATTCCATTAACAGACATAAAATGACCACCCTCACTCCTTCCTACCATGCTGAAAACTACAGTCCGGATGACAACCGATTCGACCTGAGGCCTTTCCTTTATAACACCACGTGGTCCTGGCAATTTAGGTGTATAGATAAACAGGTAAAAGCCCTCTACTTCTTGTACAGATTTATTTATTTAAATCCCTTGCAATGGGACAAGCCTAGTTCCAGTGAATATCCAGCAAAAGACAGCTAGCATTTAAGATAATAGTTATTACAGAAATAAGTGTGATTGTTCTTTTCACGTGACTATGAGGGTAAGAATTATCAGGTTTCAGTATGAGTTGGGGTTTTTTTGTTTTGTTTTTTTTTTCCCATTTTTAAGTGCAGCTTGTCATACTGCTAGGAAACCAAGAAGGAAAAAAAGAGAATATATGTACAAGGCCAGGAACTAATAGGTGTACCCACACTCATGAAGTCATGCGCTAACGCGGAGAACAAGCTTATGTGTTTCGGTTACAGTTCAGGACCTGTCTGAAGGGATCTTTTTAATTGCAAGATTAAGACTCGACCTACATCTGCGTGGGAAAAGGCTCACAAATACGTGTTTGCTGTGAGCAGCAGTAATGGTACAGTGCATGGTTTGAGCACTCTGAGCTGTGGAGGGGCTCAAGCAACTATCAGAACCATGCTTTTTGTAGTTTTTAGTCACACCTTCAACGTTATTTTAATGTGGGGGTTTTTTTATGGCAAAAGTTTTGGGTTGAGGAATTTTAGCACCTTGAAGTTTTTTTCTGCCAGAGATTTTTACACCTCAGTTACTTTTAAGGATATGTTTATATATGTAATAAAATATTAATTCCCTTGTCTGTGACATGCCAGACATGCTGTAATAGTGTTTTATTACCTTGAAACCTAGGATAAAAGCTACCACGTGCAGCACTTTTTTTGTAGGTCTGCATGATGGAGTTTTTTCCATCGTTTTGGACTTTTTCCCACTGAAGTCCAGGACAAAAGTTCTTTTGGCCTTAGTGGGAGTTGGGTAAAATATTTTTGTAGGGTCTGGACCAAAATGTAATTATTTTATGCTTACAGTAAGTGTGACTAAGATATTTTAATGATCCATGATATTGGATCTTTAACTCTTTTAACTAGATTTGTATGGAATAGCAGTTTTGCTGTGCAACTTATTCCTTTAAACAGAGAGTCAAGTTTGGGGAAGAATCTTATGTAGGCAACAGTAACCTGAACTGGTAATTCATTACTACAGATAACTTTTTGCAAGACTGGAAAATAATGACTTGCAATAATGTCAGTCAAATCTGCCCTGTACAAGAAAAGGAATACTGTAAGAGTTTCCACTGATTGTGCATATTCAGCACAATAGTAATTCTGAAGAGAATCGCTCTGTAGGACAATGTCTCACTGATAATCATGTTCCTTGGACTTAATCTGCACTTAAGGTTTTTCTGGCATAGTAACAGGACTGTGAAAATAAAGCATAAACTCTAAATGGTATAGTTTTGCCAGAAAACACCTTTAGTTAGGTAATGCCAGGTTTTCCTGTAGAAGAGTCGTGTTACAGCTTGAGCTCATTAGGAAAGGGAAACGCGTTTGAGTGCTAATATCCAACAGAAATCTGTTGGATTTGTGGAGAGTGCTTTTCAACTTCGGATGTTTGTAGTGTAGGCAATTTAGTTATCCACTCTTTGTTCAAAATTCCCTATGAATTTGCTGCAGAAGGAACAGGGGTAAGAGGAGGTTGAGATCATATAGTTTGCTGGGAATTGCCAAATTTGCCCTTGGAGTCTGAATCATTCAGCTCTACGTAGCTGAAGGTTCCACCTGGGTGATGAGGAACTCTAGTAGCACTGTCTGTAGCTTCTGCCTTTGAGATAAAGGATGTGTGGTCAGAGCATGCATTTGAACAATTTCTAGGTGCCAAAATGTTAATTGGGATTTTAATAGCGGGCATAATTTGAAACAACTGTGACATAGCTCAGAAGAAAGCTGGCACACCTGCCCCCAAGGATTAGGTATCTGCAGTCTGTCTTCTGCTTTTTCCAGTGCTTACTGGTCATACCACAAGATTAGGTGTGTTTGGTTGAACCAAAAGATTTAACAACCTGAGTATCTTTGTGTGTCTCTTTCGTAACCAGTAGCAGATGTTGAAGGAAGAACATAAGAACAGGGAATTTATACAACCCTTCCCTATGTAACCCCATAGATTTGGGGGGAATGTAGAACTAAATTTTCCAAAGTTAGAGATAATATGCAGAGAGAACATCACGTTCAGTTTACACTCTTTGTCTATCCTCCATGAGCTTGTAGAATCCTTTCTGAAACAATTTGTATTGTTAGTCTTAACAACAGCTTAGCTTAATATAAGATAATTCCTTTCCTGAAGTTTTAAGAACAGTGAAGGCCAGTTTCATAAACTTGTGTGTGTGTGTGCATGGAAAGCATGTCCTCTGCTCATTTTAATTATTCTAGGCTCTCTGTTATGGGCAGGGTTCCAGATTAGAGCCTGATCTGATCTGATCTGACAGCTGTCACTGAAAGGGGCAGTGTTGTCTCCTCTTCTTGTCCCCCCTGGTTTCTGAGATACCTTTGGTGCTTGGCTCAGTCCTCGGTCAAACAAAGTCACCAAACTGATAAAAACTAGGAACTGATGGGAGCATGAGCTTGGGAGAGATTAAAGGGGGTGGGTGGGAAGAAAGTTTGACCTTCTCTTTTGACTGCTGCTAACAGGCCTGTTCAGCTCAGTTGTTCCCTAGAGCATATCCTTCTGTTAGTTCCTGGTAAATCTGGGCTCTACACTGTTTTGTGATGGAAGTCTGAAAAGACAGGGGACATTAAGTGCCAACTGTTTTTTTACTATTGAATCGGTTTCCTTTTAACTTGCAGGTATCCAAGCTAGAAAAAAAGGAAGGAATTTCTCTAGCTGAAGACGTGGACTGATTTGCTGTCTTGTTTAATTGTGGTAATTAACTTGCTAAGCAGAATGTTCAAAACAGGAGTATATGGTGATGATGAGAAGAAATGACCCAAACAATTGTTGAGATGACCATGGTAAACAGTATGTGTAATCAAGACTTTTTTTTTTTTTTAATCAACTCCTTGGTTTTTTTCCCCAATATACTTAAATGGTAGTTTGGCTAAGGAATCATTTAAGAATTTTCTTCAACTACTTGAGTTAATTGCCTTTAATGGAAAATATTTGGACCATAAATAAATGCAGGGTAGTCTTTTGTGAAAGCATATGCACATACAAAGGTGAAGTTTGGTTCTACTAATTTGGGTATGATTTTTGAGTAACATTCAGCTGAAAGTATAAAATGTTAACAGTTCTGGCATGTGCATGCTGAGGGGAAAAACTCATTTTACTGTGCAATAAACTTGTAATTTTATAATGCTGATTGACTCAGTTCTTATTTTACATGTTTTTTATTTTATCTAGCATTGGCCACATGTGGTCTAATTCAGCAAGGTGTTGGAAGCATGTCCAACTTGGGTAATCTCCTTGTTAGCGGGATCCAAATTAGAGTTCAGCTTCTTGTTTTGCATCTACTTGTGATCGGTAACTTTAAAATCTCTGACTTAGGCATTACTCCTCTCTGAGAAAATTATTTCATCAGGATGTTCAAGAGAATGTTTAATTTTTATTTCTCTCCAAGATCCTCAGCTGTGTTTTAAGGATTTTGAATAAAGTTGGCATGGTGTCTTTTTCCCTCCTGGCATTTTTGATGTGTAAGGGTAGCTCGTTCTACCTGAAATAAGAATTATCTCCTGGTGTGTAGTATATTGAATAGAGGGGACACAAGTTTGGTCTCTGTGCCACTGTTACTCCTGTATGCTCTGGTGCAGCTTGTCCAGGAGCTGTGTCAACTGTTACCACTGATCATGCCATCGGTGAGTGGTTGGACTTTAATCCCTTTACTGTTGGAATCGAGCTCGCTGCATGCAAAACATCTGGAAATGGAGTGAATATTGCAGAACGAAATATAAAGCCAGCTTCCTTTGAGCTCAATTAGTATGTTACCCACCTTCCACCTACTGCTGCAAAAAGTTATTTTAACTTCACGACTTCACTGATCTTTAAATGTGTCCAGTGCTGCGGAACAATAAAAAAGTACAAGGAAAGGCTTGTTCCTTCACCTGAGTCCCTTTTCTGCTTGTTCACTTAATGTTTGGCCATTTCCACTGCTTTTTTTAAAATTTGATTTGAAAGGTGCACTTTTAATAGGGGAAACTAGAAATGCGTTTCTGAGGTTCAGGGCAACCAATGCTATAACTGCAACAGCGGTGGAGCTTTAGACCAAGTGAGACTTCTGTTAAAATGGTCATACATTGTGCTAATGGAAAATGTTTGCTGAAGGGCATGTTCTCCACATTTGTTTTCCACAATCCAGAAAGAGTTGATTCACATGGAGTACAAGATGCTGCATTGTTCTCGGTCAGTTTCTTGTATGTTACCCATTTCAATACATAGCTAACTTGCTGGTACTATGGATGTTTATGTTTGTCTGAAGGAAAACCCCAGCTGAGATTCTCCTTCCCTCACCCTCCATTGTTGCGCACTTCCATTTCCCATTCCAGCCAGGATGAATTTTGAACAGAAGTTCAGGAATCTGTTGTATATTTCTTTTTTTCTTCCTTAAGTTATTAATTCTCTTTCCTGACAATCACAGAAGAGGAAAGGAGAAGGAAACATTTGCATTTGTTCAAATAAAAAATAATTGCAAAACTAATAAAATGTTTACATGTACTCACTGTTACTGTGGTTACCCTGAATATTTCAGGCACTGAGCGAGAGAACACTCATGTTTCTTAGCAATGGCACTTACAGCATGTGTGCAAATTGCATTTTATTTCTTACTTGCTAATGGTGAATACAGATTGTACCAGCCCACCCTCACTTTCTTTTTACCCTCCTGAAATTTTCACTGTACCTGTTCCCTCTGATGTCTCTAGTTCAACTGTTAACAACACTAACTCCAACTTTATCAGTGCTTTGCTGTTGTTGGAGAATGGGAAATAACTGTGACAAGTAGCTGCTGATGTTTGTTTTTCACTAGTGATGACTATTACTCTGAAGGCATTGTCACAGAGTTTTCCTTTTTATCTTGAGCTCCTCAAAAGGGCTGGATCTTTCCCTGACTAATTTAGAGGTCAGTGTAAAACAGGGATTTGTAGCTGAAGGCAAAAATTACCCTATTGCTAATTAAACAGTATAGGCTGGACCTACAGGCTGGAAATCCAAAGCGATGGATTGAGAGACTTTTCTGTTTATCGTTATGCTGCCAGAGCTCCCAGTATAAGGCAGAAAATATGATATAAGGCAGAAAATAGTGTATAGTTGTCAAATTATCCCAGCATCTACCCTTTTGAAATTGCAACTTTATGAAATTGACTAGAGATTGACTAGAAATTGACTAGTGTGTACAAGGGGACTATGAGGAAAGGGGGAGAGAGGCAAGAGTGAAGCATCTTTTAACTGTTGAAGTAGCTGGGATGCCTGGGTAACTAAACAAATTAAATACTTTCTGTGACTAGGGATGTAAATGAGTGCAAGCAGGAAGCAGTCATTTCAATCCTCGCTAAATAAATAGTTATCCTCAATAAATCCTAAACCCGGCCCCCGCAGCTCTCCCTGAGGCAGGGCCTGGCCTAGAGGCACCCTCAGCCGAGGACACCGAGGTTACAGCCGCCGGGAGGTAAAAAAGCTGCAATTGCTCATGAGGGATACTTTTCTCAGAATCGTCAGGACTCCTGGGGGCTGCTCTTGTGAGTTCGAGTGAAGAACCAACACTTTTTTTTACCACAGATTTAGTCACGTCTTTGACCAACCCCCGACCGCTTCCTGAGGCGGCGGGGCGGCGGACGGTGCCCCGTTCGCTGTCAAAGGGAGAAGTCTGTCGGGGGGCAGAACTCCCGGCGGCGAACCCGGCCGGGGGGGACGGGCCGGGGCCGGGGCGGGCGGCAGCTGCGGGAGGAGCCCGGTTCTCGCCCTCCCCCGGCCGCCGGTGACGTGCGGCGGGCGGTGCCGCCCCGGCCCCGTCCCATCCCGGCGGCGGCCGCAGGGAAGGAGGGGAGTGAGGGGAGCGTGGTGGTCGCTGCCGATGGAGGTGGCAGCCGGCGCTGAGGCGGAGCCGCTGTTGCCCCCGCGGAGCTGGCGAGCGGGGCGAAGGTTGTGGCGGGCCGGTGCCCGCTCTGAGGACGGTGAGTGCGGTGGGGCGGGAGGCGGCGGTGGCGTCTCCCGGGCCCGGCGCTGAGGGAGCCGGTGCCTGAGGCGGGCGGCGGCGCTCTCCCCTTTCCCTCAGAGCTTGCCCTCTCCCGGGAGCGGGGCGGGCGGGCCGGGTACTGGAGGAGGAACCCCCCGGGGCCTGCCTCGGGGGTCTGCCGGGGCTCGGCGGGGGTCTGCCGGTGCTTCGGTCCCAGCAGCTGCGGCTGAGGCGGCTCGGCGGGGCCGGCTGCGGCCGCCCTGCATGGGTTGAAGGCACCGAGCCGCTATCGCTGACCTTGGGGTGCAAACCTTGCGCTGGTGCAGCCTGAGACTTGGATTCTTTTCTTTCGTAATTTTTTATCATTTAAGGTGCTGACAGCTTTTTTTTTTTTATCTTTTTCTCCAACTCACTACATATTTGAGGTCTGACCTCTCGTTTCCCCCAGGAAAGGCTCCTGGGGGAGACTTCAGGTTCTCTATTTTCAGGGTATCGCATCACTTGCGTGAACCTTCTCTTTTTGTCGCCTGTTTGTTGGGTGTCAAAAGTGCAGGGGGGGGGTCCGAGGGAGGTCCTGCCCGCCCAGAGCGAGCAGCACTTCAGTCATCGCTTGTGACTAAGGGTCACTTGCTGTGACTAAGAAATGTCAGAGTAAATCGGGTATCCTCAGCAGCATGTGTGGAAAATGCGTCGTTTTTATTGGAAGCAACCAAAACAACTGAAATTGATGAAGTAAACATTTCTCGGTAATTTCCCTGTTTTACTTCTACGTTAATATCTTGGATGCTGCCCTTTCAAAGTAGTTGGGATTGACGCTAGGCTTGTGTTAGGTGCTCTGAGAATTTACAGCTTTTGCTGTCCTTGCTATCCTTTTAACTAACACCGTTCCTTTAAACAACTTTATTTTTGTCTCACTGGTGTGTCGTGTCTTGAAAAAGATAAGATCTTTTTATTGCGTGAGTCGAGCTCGTCTCCTGTTTGTGCTCAGCCTTTCTTGATTAATATCCAAATTGGTACAAAACTGTGTTGTTGCTTGTGCTCAGATAAACGGTGACATTTAAAAGCTGTTTGCAGTCTTTGTAGAAAATTGATGCCGCTGAATCATATGGAACGTAAAATTGTTTTGGGACTCATCAGCGGTGCTTCTGGCGTTTCTTGGAGCCTGGAGAACATTGTGCCAGCGCTGGGATTGACTCGGTCTCATTGTATCCCGTGCTGGGATTGCTGTCTCCTGGGAGGAGATGGTCTGAAGTGCTCCTCGGGCCTTTTCCCCTCTGTGGGAAGGTTACACTAGCACGTGTTTTCATGTCTTTAGCCCCTCTCAGTTTTCTCTTTTCTTCCTCATCTCCCCTCCCTTCCATTTTGGCCTTAGGTGTCTCTTGTTGGCTTAATTGCCAGTTTAGTTACTCAAAGGTCCTAATTCAAGTGAACGCAAGTGATTGCCGTTTGCTCATTATGTATATATCTTCATATGGCCTTCTTGCTAATAGGTTTTGAAATGTTGCATAGTAACTAATTTTGTGGTATTTTATTTTGCATCGTATGCTTTCACCCCTTTCTGTCTTGAGCTTCAGTCTGTTGAATATGGTGATAATAACTCAGAACAAACTAAAAAAGGACTTAATTGTGTTCTCATCTGCCTGGAGATTTCTGTTGGTTTTGGAGAGAATGAGATCAATCCAAACCTCAGTATCTTTATTAAACAAAATTAAAAATGCCTAGAATACTGGTGTCTGATTTTTCCAGCTTCACTTGACTGTACACTTTGTCAAAGAATAACCATTACAATGCATGTTCCCTTAGGACTTGTCTCTGTATAGAGATACTCCAGTCTTGTGATAGCTATTTAACTACTAATGTGATCTAACTACTTAAGATTCGCTCTTACTTTTAGCTTATCACAAAATACAGAAAGATGCATGATGTGTTTGAGGTAATTATTATTGATTTAATTTAATGCCTGGTGCTGCTGATGGAGCTGACATGGCAGGAGCTGTCTCTTTACTTTTTGTGTGTGTACATTGCACTTTATCATGAGAACTACAGTTGTGGAGCTTCTGTTAACTAATAAGCAAACTGTAGGATTTATCCAAAATATGGCAAATGAGTCTTATTTCTTTTTAACTTTACAGGTATTGGAGCTGATAATGACCTTTATATAAACCAAGCCATAGTATTTATTGAAGATGCAATACAGGTAAATATAACCTGTTTTTTAGCTATTACGCTTCCCGTGCTGGATATTCCTCATGCATTCTATTAGCTTTTAAATTTTTATGTGTTCAGGCAACCTCCACGTAGCATCGTCTTGATTTACAAAGTAAAATCAGAACTCCAAATTCCTGTGGTGTGCACGCTTCAGTTAACTTCTGCCTAGAAGAAACATGGGGTTTTCCACTCATTGAAGTAGATAGTGTCTTCTTTGGGGATTTAGACTAGATGACCTTTGAAGGTTCCTTCCAAACCAAACTGTTCTATGATTCTATTCAAGGTCGTCAAAAGAGATGCTGTTTTGTGGGGTGGTTTTTGGTTTGGGGTTTGTGGTGAGTTTGCTGGGATTTTTTTGTAGTGGTTTGTTTTGGAGGGTTTTTTTTGTCTTTTTTTTTGGTTTTTTTGAGAGTGACTGGCCTCACTGCTGAGAGAAACTATCTGAGCAAACCCTGTAATTTGCCTCTAAATCTGACTACTTGCATAGTTTTAAGAGCTGGTAGAGTTTAAGGCTAGCTTCAAACAGGAAGCTGGAATTCTTTTGCTTTAGCTGAACTTTGAAAGTTTTCATTCTGTCTTTGTCTCTCCTTTACTGGCTGTTACTGCATGTTCCCAGAACCTGTTATCTCCCAGTTATTAGTTGCAGGCAGTGGGAATGCTGGAGGGCAATTCTTGAGCTCTCTTGCTGCATTCAGCTTTTGGTTGGGAGATTTCTGGGGATCAGATATGTTTAAGATGCAGATACTCCTCAGCAGAGACAGAGGAGAAGCTGCTGACGAGGGAGGGGCTGACCAGATTTAAGCAAAAGCAGACCTGTTCTGAAGAATTGTGGGTACTTCCTTGAACTTAAAGCATGTTTTGTTTAAAGATCTAGGTTGAGATCTCTTATATTCAGAATTAAATTGTTTGAATCTTAGGGCTTTTTGGAAGAGAAAGACAAAATGGAATGAATGCTGGAAAGGTAAACTAAATGAGTGGACCGTTTTGGCGAGCAGATAGAATAGGCACTGAATTATTACTGTTGCTACAGATGCTGTTATTTTTGAAGATGATAGTGCTGTGTGACTGCCACATAGTTTGATTATCTGAGTGTGGTCTTTAGATTAGGAAAACGTCATTAAAATCTTTCCCATTGCACACATGTAGGCTATAGCTATGGTCATTTGTGACTGACGCTTCAGTAACTAATAACTTGTAAAACAATTTATTTATCTAATTGTGAAACCGAAATTGTGTGAAGGTTTGAGCTTTGTTGATTAGAATTTGATTGATTTTGGTGACTTCTCTTTGTCTTTGAGACAGACTGAATGTAATGTTTGAATTATCCTTTTTGCTTTCTGCCTTCAGTATCGCTCTATAAATCACCGTGTGGACTCCAAATCCCTGTGGCTTTATCGATGGTACTATTCAAGAACTTGTCAGTGGTAAGAACTTGGTATTCTTTTTGCTTTTTCATTTAGGAGTAAGTCTTTATTTAAAAAAAAAAAATATATATTCTTCATCTTTCTTTTGTGTTAAATAATTAGGTAGTTGTACTTTTATGAGAAGTTACTGTAGGAAGCAAGGGGATTGATTACACATGAAGATGATAGAAGTGGGATGCAACAAGATAAATTAAAGTGTGATCATGTAGATGGCTCTTTGGAACAGCCATGGGACTGTTGCATGAATAGACTGTCGGCATGATTTACAGCACTGCGTGTTAGAGTTTTCCAAGCTTCTATTTCTAAACATGTTAAATAGCAGCAAGATTGTTTGTAATGTTTGTTTCAAAAGAACACCACCTCAGGTTATTTGGTGGCCAGCAGTTACGTTATTCTAACCCAGGCAACGACATGCTAATCAAGTGCTGTGTTGCAGTCTAACCCATTTGTCTTAAATATGATCTTACAAAGCTTGGTTTACTTCTAAGAAAATTGCTTTGTTGCAAGTATTTTGTTATTATTTTGACTCATTTTGTGGGTTTGATGTTTTTTGTTTCTTTTTTTTTTTTTTTCCTGTGGGGTGGGTGGTGGTTGTTTTTTGTTGTGGTAGTGGTGGTCTTGTTTGTTTGTTTTGTTTTTTTAATTTTACCTCTATCCAAACAGGATTTTGAGCTTAACCATTACTGTAATCCTGGCTTTGGCTTTCATCGAGAAGCCTTCTTCGCTTACTCTCACATCAGATGTACGATACCGCCTTCCTGCCTGGAATCCTCCATGTGGCCTCACAGAAAGCATTGAGATGCTTTGCTTTCTTGTGTTCATGGTGGACGTATCCGTGAAGGTGAGCATTGCATTCAGCTGGTACTGAATGAAGTACTAGGTGTGTTGGGCAGCTCAGGAGGTACAGTCAGTGTGACTTTCCTCCATTTTATATTTTGAGAAACTTTACTCAAATCTTGGATTTGGATGATGAGACTGCTTTGCTGTATTAAAAGCTTACTTTCAGGAGAAATGAATGCATATTTTCTAAATTTAAAAAAAAAAATTGCTTTTTCTTAACCAAATAAATGGTTACTCCTGTCTATGTGGAAGAAGTGGAATAAATTTTGCTAAGCTAATAGCTGGTTGTACTGTTATAAAAATTGGGTTACATAATAATCAAACATATGCCAGTTCATTTAAACAAAACAAAAATACTCAGAAACTGATCTCTTCTTGGGATGCTTGTTTCTGGAAAATCTCTGTATATGCTTATTAAATGGACATATTTTTTTTTTTTGCATTCAAAGGATTCCTCTCGCATGGCCTGTGTTCACCACTCACTTTTACTGACATTTACTTAGTTCTTGCAGAAAAAGTCTCTGATCAGTGTATTTTTGTTTGGATGTCAGGGAGCTCTTTATGAGCATTGATGTAAAATTACAAATTCTTGGAAAACAATCAGTGCTGATTTATTAGGATATTGGAATTTATTAATAAAATAAGCTGGTGGTTGTTGTTTTTTTTTTTCCTTCCACAGAGTTACTTAGTCGGATGGGAAGAATTTTGGAAAAATAAGTGGCTAATGGCTTATATACTGACATTAATTGTTTCCCTTACTGATTGGATTGTATCACTGAGCTTTTTCTGCACAGAGGTAAGAACTGCTTTCTGCAGCAACGATCAGCAGCTCTAGTTTTGGTAAGTGGCAGAGGAGCAGAACCCACAAAGGGAGAGTCAGCAGGGCGTAGGTGGTATATTGGAGAGCTAAGGGAGGATAATACACTGAAACACAGCAAATGTGTGCTGTAATATAGCTTCTCAAGGGATTCTGTTTGATTTTTAATATAAGATGTGAGGTCATTAGTAAAATGAAATAAAGCTTTGTTGCTGTAGCCTGTCAACAGTCAAACAATACAGAGAAAACTCTGGTTGCGTAGTACTGATGTTGTACAGTTGGAGAATTATGTCCTTAACTTGATTTAACAGCAGAGTCTATGTAGTGATGGATAAGTAAAAAGTAATTGTGTAGTTTAACAACTGCTGTCTAAGATGAAGCTGTGTTGTGTTTAAAACAATTATGTCCTGAGAGGAGTGTCAGTTTCATGAAACTGATCTAAAAATGCCCTCCTTTATGAAATAATGCAGTTTCCTCCTGACCAGGATGTGATGTAGTATCAAAAATATTACCTTAAAATGTTGGAAGAACATGTCACTTAAGCTTATAAGCATCTAGTTGTAAGAAAAATGTGTATGTCCTTTTCATATTCAAGCCAAATAAACATAACGCAGCTGAAGGAAAGATTGTGCTTACAACATGGGGAGTATGTTTTAGAAAAAAGTGACTTTAAAATCTTCAGTTGTGAGAGTGGGTGTGTAGTTTGAGCAGGAGCCTCCCACATAAAACAGTGGTAGAAGGAGCAGTTTAACTGCTGGGATGTATGAACAAGGAAATAGTAAGGGAAAAAGTGATTTTATTTTTTTTTAATTTTTTTTTTTTTTTCTGCTATGTGTGGTCCTGAGAAGACTGGTCCAAAAATACAGGCTGCTTAAATAGCCTTCAAGTTATTTCTTATCAGTTACTTCAGGTGTCTTGAATGCAAGAATCAAACACCTTAATTGCTTTAGTGTATGTTATGGGAAATAAAGGAAATCTCCTGCTTGAGTCTTGCTAGAGGCAGAAATTGCTGAGTAATAAGCAGGCCCTTTAATAATAAAATAAATTTAAAAAGCTGAAAATTTAAATCAAGCACTTATTTTCAAAATGCGTATCTATTTTTATTAAAAGTACCTTGCTATTCTCTTCTTGAAATGGATCTTGGCAGAAAATATGCAAATGGCATCTATTGACCTGCTTGTTATGTCTACCAAGCATTAAAGTTAGATTGTTTATAATTAGTGGCCTGATGAGGCTGTTGAAATGTCAATGTGCATTTTTAAAGCAATCTCTCATTCTTTTAATGAGGCACTCATAAGTATAAAATCTTTGTGTGTTGTGTGAATTCAGTGGGACAGATTTAGCTTCTGAGAACAACCTTTATATTATACTGTTGACTTTGCTGATAGGTGTATCAGTGTTTTTTGATAAACATGTATTAAAAATACTGAGTTCCCATAATATTAATGCCACATGTATCTGATCCGTTGTTTTTTGCAGAGAGTGAGGATAAGAAGAATTCTTCGTCCTTTCTTTCTCCTTCAGAATTCTTCTATGATGAAGAAAACATTGAAAAGTATCAACAGCACATTGCCTGAAATGGCAAGGTAGGTATTAGTGTAGAAAATATAATTTCACAGCAAAAAATACCCTTAGTATTTGGTGTGTGACATCCAAGCAGCTTCCTTCCTGATGGTCTAGCTGGAGTGATTGGTGAGATCGGGTAGTAACGGATGGAGGCTGTGTTAATTTTTTGATTCCTTTTGTCTGTAAAATTTCTCTAGAATGCTCATGATCTGGCTCTGTATGTGACAGATAAGCTTTTTTGATGCCAGTTGAGTGGTGTTTTTTAATTGTGTATGTTGCATATGGCCCTTTTGTAAGGGAAGAACTGAGGCACCATCTGGGCAAAGTTCTATGCCATGTTTCTCCAAGGTGGCCTCTCAGAGGTATGTGTACTTGTCTTCCAGTCGTGAGTGCCACGCAAAAAGATACCTCTTTCTTTACATCTTCAGAGGGCTTTACTTCAGCTCTTTTATTTTTAAATGGTTTTAGCAATATATGTGTTAAATTTTACTGTCCTTAGAAATGTTGAACTGGAAACACCGCTGGTGAAATCGTAACCAGAGAGCATGATGCTTTTTGAAAGAGATCACTTCCTGTCACGTGGATCACGTATCTGCACAGCTTATAGAGCTCCCTGTCCTTGCCTGTTATTTTTTAACTGCCAAGTCCCAGGAGAATCAAAGGTGTATGCAAGCCAAAATGTTGGAGGGTATAAAAATGGTCCTAACTTTAGAAAAACAAGTGTTAGAATCTCATTGACCTCACAACTGTCTAAGATCATTCTGAGGAGTCCTGAACAAGTGTGATTCTTGTTTTGCATCAAAACTTAGATCATCTTCTGTTAATTCCACAGAGCTTCTTAAAAATACCCCTGGCTTTCTTTGTATGGCATCCTTTTGCTTTTTTAGCAAAGGATGTTAAGACTAAGGTGAAGTTGGTATTAATGCTTATGATATGTTTTCTTTCCAACAGTGTTGTTCTACTATTAGCTGTTCACCTGTCTCTCTTTACCATGTTTGCCATGCTGCTGTTTGCTCGAACAAAGGTAACCAATTATAGTCATGCTTTGGTAGATCTTGGTGGTGGTTTCTTTTTTTCTTTACTTGCATATCTGCTGCATGTCTAGTTTTATAATCAAACTGGTGAAACTTGTTTCCCCTGAAACGGTCATGTTACCTTGTCAAACTCGCTGGGATGAGTTTAAAGTCCATTTAGAGAGATTTAATGTGTGCATATTATCAATGTGTAGTGCTGTTTCTGTAAGGATGCATTAGAAGGCCCCTCAGAATAGCGTTAGAATCTCTTCATCCTTTAGTGAAGAATTTTTTTCCAGACTGTGCTTTGCATCTTAAGTGATAATGCTCCTTCCTACTTCACAACTGAAATCTTTCTCTCTTGCTGTAAGCTGTGGCATGTTATTTTATTAGTCTTGCTCTGCTCTGCAGGGCAAAGTTAGATTGTTCCATGCTAAAATGTGGTCGACATCTTTATTTGTTTATGGTCCTGCATGTTACTGGTATTGATGCCATTATCACAGGTGTGAACTTGAAAGTCTGTTTATACAAGAGGCTTCCTTATACAATTCTCCAATTTGATCCTTTGAGTTACTTTCTCTGCTTTTGTTGAAACCTATGCTGTTCTGTGTCCAAAGCTCTTAATCTTGTCATTTTTTTGTTTATACTATCACTCATTTCTTTTCTCTTTTCCTTATCTAGCTTTTTACTAAATTTAATTTCTTCTGTATTTTCTTATCTTCCAATACTGGTATCCCTGGCCATACTTTGGTAGGTTTTTTGCCTGCATTATTCCAATGTTTTGATTTCTGGTCTCTTTGTTTCTTCATTTGTTTTTTCTCTTCCTGCTTCTGAAAAGAAAATTTGAAATTCTGTGGTTTAAATCACTTTTGTGTTCCAGTGCTGTTGGTATGTTCCCTCTCTCCTAAACTTCCTGCATCTTAATAGACCATACTCAGATGTATTTTTTTTTTTTTTTGTCCTTTTTAAGGCCTTACACAAATGTGTTCCTATGAGCACAAAGATTTGCTGCATACTTCTAGTAATTTTAGTCCTCTCCTTAATCTGTTTTGCACCTTCACTCCTACTGCAATGTGCTTGAGCTTGCCTCTAGTCTTCCTTATGATTGGCAAATTCTTTGAATTTCCCTGTTATAGAATTTCTGAAATTAGAAGAAGAGCAATATTTTCCCCGCTTTATTTAGTTTCATGCTAGATCTTTGTATTATCTCTGTATGTCACATCTAATTCCAGTTA